ATAACTAATTTAAGTTGCAGCAAATACCATACCTCCGTTTTACTGGAGCTGGCGGCTGGAGGGCGGGGCTACGGTCGATCAGAGAGCACATACGCAAGGGAGATTGTACAACCTACTCTCCTATCGATTGCCCCGCACTTCAGCCGCCAGCTACAGTAAAACAGAGGGTACTCACCCCATTGCTTAATTAGCTACTATAAACTTACAGTTATTGCGCTCCTTACGTTTTGCACAATCTGTTCCGCGACTTATATGCCGTACTTGCCCCTCCAAGGATTTTTTAAACTATTTTTGCGCTCAAATAGCATGGAAGAGTAAATTTTTATTTTAAATCATTTTGCACTGAAGCGTTCTTATTGCTGTTGGTCAATTAGCTAGTCATGAAGTGTACCTCAAGGCGTACCGCACTCATTGAACTGCAAATGGTTCTAAACATCCCCTTTGATCTTCTGCTTATTGTTAAGGGCTCGGGGAATTGGATTTCTGTTAGATCTCGTAATGTTAGGCGTAGACTCATCAAGTATATCACCTACCTCAAGCTCTAACTTATGCGCTAAGTTTTAAAAGGAGATTTCAATTCCACCAGCTTCGTCCATTTCCATAATGAGAGTCATTGGTGAGCTTTTGGAGCGCATTTTCAGAATTTTGGAAAGTTTTCATGATTCGAAAAGTGGGATTGGAGCCACGATTACTTGAAAAGGGAAGAAGATCACTATCCAACACTACAGACCTAAAAGGGGTTTATTCTTCCAAGGAACTGCCTATGAGCATGCATTTTGGGTAGGCACTGCAAATGAAGAACCCTCAGGTCAAGTTCAGAGTTTCGATATAATACATACGGTAATAGTCATTTCAACACACTGTACAGCGTGCGATACGTTGGCAGAAGGATATAAACGTGGCACAGTCAATTGATGCAAAAAAAAATTCCCACCTATTTGTTTATTTACCCACTGTAAAAACGTTATGCATTAGGTCATTACATAAGTTCGTTGCTTCATTTTCGTTCTCATATTTTTGTGGAACGGTTGATTCGCGGCAAGCTGCGTGATTCATTTGGAAGGACTGATTGTGCTCTTTGAAATATGTCTATTGATTCCGGTGGGAAGCTGACTCACGGATCTCGTAGCTTCCAAAGATGGAAATCTTGAAAGGCAAAAAGAGGAATTTTGACATTTGCGCAGATTTCCTTATGAAAAGAAGCGCTTTTGTACAGATGTTTCTGTCGATTATGGAAACGGCGCTCACACATCAATACGAGACAAAAAAGGATTGGATTGCGAAAAGATCAGGGGCTGAGCAGGTGTCCCCGAGCAAGACTTTCCGGGGGACGGGCAGGATGTCCTGCACTAAAAATTGCTTTACGAGTAGGCGATGGTTAACCATACCTAGGCAATCCGAGTGCACATCTAAACCAGATCCTCCGCAGAAAAAGCCTAACAGACAGATTCAGTGAGTTTTTCTGCATTACGAAACATGGCCTCATACGGCAAACGTCCTCAAAACTGTCTTGCACGATCTGACTGAAAGGTACTTTGGTACCCAACGTACTCTCCAAATCTCGCTCTGTCAGGTTTCATTTGCTCCGCTCTCTAGCGAACCTCATGAATGGTGCATGTCTCGATTTCAGTAAGTAGTTTTAGCGCTGGCTAGATGGCTTTCTCGGGACCCGGCGCGCTGCCGTTTGATAAAGTGAAGCCACAAGAATGTGCAAAAGGTCGTGCGCTACAACGAGGAATACAATTTTGATATAATTTTACTATGAACTGATGATTTTGTTGGTTTATAAAAACGCTATAAACTTATGGAACGACCTAATACTTTCGCTTAGCGCGACTGATGACTGTGATTTGTGCTTCATCAACGACAGTTGTTGCCAGAGTGGTTAGAATCTTCAGAGGCAGCTAGAAAGGAACCAAACGCCACTATCATTCCGCTATGGGCTGTCGCCTCAACATGGCATGAGAGAGGCAGTGGGAATTACAATGTACAGCAAAGTGCATACTTTGGTAGGGCCTCCAGGTGGGAAGCGATTCCGTGTTTTCGGTTACGGCCGGATGCTTGAATAAGAACCGGCCAGGCCAGATTCCCCGCCGTCCGGTTTTCCGGTCGCTAGGCTCGCTCCACACTCGGGCCACCGATTGCCCCATGTAAATCAAGATTAGATCAAGTATGTTCTCTCAGGGGAAAGAATATTTTATTGCTCCGCTAGTTAGAACCTGAACATCTTATCCGGCCTACAGCGTCGGATGGTAGGAAGAACGATATCAGGGTTCTCAGAGCACCATATAGATCGGAAAAAGCGACACGTCTGCTCAGTCGACACGCCATGGAGACTGCCTCATGCTTTGCACCTACAACGCCAGGACAGTCTCCACAGCCTAATTTCCTCGTTTCCCGACGCTGCCAAGCTCATCAAATACCACGTCATCGCTCTGCGGGAAACGAAAACCAAGAGAGTGCGAGTCATAAGCCCTTATCATTCGTGTTTAGAAAGTTGATGTGTATGCTTTGTTTCCCATCCATTTCGTCCATCTACCAATTCGTATATTCTATCACCTCGACTGGCTATTCTAAGTTTACGCCCTACACGTCAGAAGGCCATCGGCAGTATCAACCGCTACTTTCCAACCAGCAGCTAGATTAGACAGAACCCGAGGCTTTTTACGAAGACGTGGAAAAAGTTGTGCGAAACAAGAAACCCTGCAAAAGCTGTGGACTACTCTAACGCGAAAATCGAGACCACTTAGAGCGAAACATAGGATCAAAAAGTTTGAAGATAGACTCCGGAGCGAAAAGGGAACCGTCTCGTTAGGCTTCTCTCCGCTGCACTACTTTGCTATAGAATTTTCATTTTTTAAGAAGAAAAAACTGCATACAAATTGACTAAAGGTTTTTTTTCTTTTGCGAATAACAACATTCTTTTTCTAAGAGACTATCACTGAAGCAAAGACGATACTGAAGGTAATCGGATTTCCAATGAACTAGAAGAAAATTTGTTAAGACTGCACACTCTTATTAGGAACATGGGGAACTTTAGGAGAAGAGAAGAAATACAGAAGGAAAAAGAGCAGGCTAAGCTGCGTTCGGGCCCTTGAAGAAAGCCGCCTACCAATTGACGGACCCGGATTTTCAGGTAAGGCATGGACCGACACTGTCACGTCGGAAACCTTACGAACCCATAGAGAGCTTGAGAGCAGTCCTCTAAAGATTACACACATATGCAGCATTATAGGACTTCGCAGTATGGATCTAAGATTGATGTCTCGTCTTCGTGATCCTACGAAATGGGTACGCGTGTTCAAACGGATGTACCAGCTGAGAAATCAGCTCGTTACAAATTTTGCACCTGGAATTGGCACCGCAGCCACCAATATCATCCAGGAGAGGCTGTGGATGCGTGGATGTCAGAAGCGAGGGACAGGAAATTGAAAGTTTTCTGCCTGGGCCCGGCGCTACGTGACGACAGGTCATCCAAGTATCTAATCAATTTTCAGTATCCTATGTTCATACTCATACTCATAATTCTACAAAGTGCCATTTCGTAGTTCTTTTTGCACAGTCACTTCCGCTGCCCACACCTCCCTTGGGTTTCACCCAGGATGCATGTATAACGCATACTCTCATTAGAACGCTAAATACATCTCTAATAAGCATGTACTTGTTGTTCTCTATCAATGCAAAATCAAAAGGCATGTTACTTATATGTACAAACGTGAACAATGTACTGATTATAAGTTTTGTTTTTCACCCACGAACTGTGTGTGTGATGCGTCATTTTTCCGCACTTACCCAGAAAATCACAATTGTTGTATAAAACAACATAGCAATTAACAAGCTCAAAGGCAATACATTGACAGAATCGCGCGTTGTAAACCGCAGCTTACCTATTGATTGGCACCTTCTTGTTCAGTAAATATAAGAGCACTGGTATGTAGCAAAATGCACATATTATGAAGAATATCACAATGGATATAATTGAAGTTAAGTTGATTAGCTAAAATAATGGTTGCGCGGATGAGATAATGAGCTTTAATTTTTGTTTTTAGATGTTTTCAACATTGCTGCATTCGCTTCTTGTTGGTAAATAAAATGCGTGTTGTGATGATTGAAAAAAGTTCCCTGATTTAGAAAACTCTTCGTTCTGCGGCACAATTTAGGGACTTTTTTCAAATCGGATTACTGATGAGAAAACTGTATTGAGGGAAAGGGAAGCCTAGTGCGTTTTATGGTTTGAATATAATAGAATGGAAAATCAATTTACCATTGCCAGTTCTTCTGATAATACCGTATCTATATCGGTATTGAAAGTGGCATTAAGGTGTGTCCAGAGTGGAATACCAATCAACATAGGTAAAATCCAATGCACCATCACAAACACTACTAGCGGTGTAGAGGACATCACCTGTAAAATCACTTTATGTTGCGTAAAGTAAGGGATTTGCTTGAAATCTTTACCTAACGCGCTTTTTCTACATGCATAATAGACATGTACTCAAATATCTGAATTTGGTTATTTTTAATCCGATTTTTATTGCAAGTTTCCGATTTTTTGACCCTACACAAAAAATTCGAATATTGACTTATTTTCTTCTATCGCTCCTATCTATGCAACAGATGATCATTTGTAAGCAGCTCAGAAGTCGTTGTAAAATGACTTGCTCTTTCATATGAAAATAAGAGCAGTCAAGTCGGTTGGAAAAACCAGAAGGTATGATTTTTTGAAAATGGTGCAAACAAACTTTTGGGATGACCTAATATGTAGGTACCAAAATGCGAACTGTGCTAAGTCAGTACTTTTCCAAATTTTCCTTTCAATTTTTTTTCTCCTACGGTCACTAACAGAAAATCAGAGAGTGAGGTTCAAAGCGGCTGTTTTCATTACAGTCTGGAATTATGTTTACAGCAGTACGCAGAACTAAGGATCTGAGTCTGTGACTGTAGGCCTTTTCTGGCCTTTAATAGAAAAAATCTCACCAAGTCTACCCTTCTTCCGTGCTGGCAAACAATAATGTATCGTTGTATTGATATTAATGTAACCCCAGTGCATCGGAGATACATAGAATAATTGATAAACATAATAGCACCATTGGCAAGGTAATCTCGATATTGCCAGAAAAAGGGATCGCATAGCTCAGCGTTGCGCAGAACAGTAAAGAAATCGTAGCTGATTACAGCAAATATGTCAGCGAAACCCTGAATCTTATATATAAAGCTGAATGTCTGTATGTCTGTCTGTCTGTGTGTACGTATTCCGAATACAAAATTCCATTTCTGAACCGATCCGGACCAAACTTAGCACACATACACTTCGGGCCCCGGCGGGTGTCATAGGCTACTTTTCGTCATCGATCGATATCGATTTTATCGATCTTTATCGATTTTTTTGCCGAGTCCACCTACGGGATTGGAATATGGCACAGCGGGGTACACCCGCCGGGGCCCGAAGTGTATGTGTGCCAAGTTTGGTCCGGATCGGTTGAGAAATGGAATTTTCTATTCGGAACATACGGCGGAGCCGGGTAAGCCAGCTAGTACAATATGATTTCTCTTAGAAAATCTGGAGCTGAGCGGTTAAGTGATTTTTCAAATATTTTCGCACTTACCTGCGAGAGCATAAGAACGTGAAATAGAGAGAGCTTTGGTCTCCGAAAGATTACCAACATTATCATCATATACAATGGTAATGTGATGAGTGTGACCAATGCAAAAACGAGTTGCGCCCAGTTTACCATCATTCCTAAACATTTTCTTATAAGCACAAAAATTTGGGAATGTAGAAAATATCGACTCATATCGACTTATGCCTCATTCTTTCAAAAAAAAATCTAAGATATAATAGAAATTATTTGAGTTGTCATTTTTTAGATTAGTTTTTGAAACAACATGAATTTTGTGAAGGAAACACCAGAGAAAAAATGAAAGTAAGTCTATATTGGAAAATAGCTGTGAATTACATTGTGTATTCAACCTTAGCATAAAAATGAGAACTACGATGGTATGACGTTTTTTCATTGCTAAACAAATTTTAGAGTTGTAACCGTCGTTACGTAACGTGACTTCTGGGAAGAGATGATGCACTAACACTTGAAATCAACACCTAGTTTCCGCAAAAGTCTGGATGAATCAGTATACCGTAGACTTCCTTCTAACTTGAAGCAGAAGCTAACGAGGTGTCTGCGTGTGTGACTTGCCAAACATAGTGACGTTACCCTGATGTGTTTTCAAACTGAATGTTGGATTAAAAAGTAGAAATACTAGCAACTTACAAACTCAAATCTGGAAACAGTGATTATAGATATATGCGTCATAGTCGATATTTACATGCAAAGTTCAATTCTGTAAAAACGATGTGAAATGGAATCATTTTAAGACAAATAGTATGCATTTTGTGAAAAGATAGATCAACTATTTGAGTAATTGGATAAAATATTCAGATAAGGTGTCTCTTTGTTATAATATTTCGAAAATTGAAAATATTCTATATTGGTTATGCAGAGAGTCTACATTCAGTTATTCAAAAACCTCGATTCCTATTAATCGATTGTTGAAAAAGTTTGATTTTTGAGTATGTTCAATTATTCACTATCATTCAAATAACTGCTATCTCTAAGCATAACTAATATACGCATTATACACTTACTTGAACGAGTGAAACATCAACATATTTGAGATTCAATGACTCAACTATAAATTTTGATACTTTTGCTGTCCCTCTATTCTAATTTGGTTTCCAATCATAACCGATTATTCAACAAATCGGAAAATTTTCGCATATGTTATTGTATAGTATGAAGTAGGAATTCTGTGAACTACTTTTTTTACTTTGTTATTCAAATGGACTCGTAAAGGTGTTGTTAGTCATATTGTTTCTCACAATTTGGTCCCAGGAGTAGTGTAATTTGCGCTTTTACTCATAAAAACACATAGTTAGTAAAAAAATTTCTGTAGAATCGGCAAGAAGATGAGTAAATAATCATGTTAGGGAAAGAGTGACTGATGAGTACTAACCAGAATAAAACAGCTACAAAGTTTGATCTTTTCAGGAAAACGCCACATCAAACATTCCTTCAAACTGATTGTAAGACTCATATCCACATGCGGAACTGCATAACCAAGTACCATGCACATCGTAAAGTGTAATTTTATAATTGAAAACCTTGTAATCAATGACTCTGTTTGCTACACATTCTATGAGCCTCCATTTACCAGCTACTTGCCATATGATTACCTTATTTTTTTTGAAAGGCATTAGAACTTGAAATTTTTAAATTCTTTGATACTTCGATTTAGAGCACTTTGTCAACATTGTGCATATAAAGCCTACCAAAGATGTAAATTAAGGCAGAATATTGTTGTGAGACTTTCTTCCTTTAACCGCCTCGTAAAAGGCCATAGTGGTTGGAACTTTTTTCGAATACCATCAACTTACGAAGAAATAAAATAGGCACTTCATAAGTCTGTAAACTTTCTTGAAAAAAGGAAAGCATATGTGACCAGGGGTGTCCGCGGAGGAAAGATGATTCCTTCTTACCCATTTCGCTTTTCAAATGCAGATTGTTTTGAGCATTACAAGCAGCCAGAAATTTTTAGAAGAGCTTTTTGAATGAATATTCTCAAGTTGTGAAGGTAAAAAAAAATGCAATATGGAAGGAGGTTGCAGTGAAAGCGTCCCGACAGGTCTAGCCTTTTGTTGCTTCGTTTAATAAATTGGCCTGGTATTTTCCGAACTATTAGGTTGTCCCATAAGTCTTTTCATTCTTGAGTTTTCGCTATAATAAGTCACACACTTCTGATTCTAAATAGACATCAGGATACCGTTCGATAGAGCAAAGCAAGCTCTATAAGACGACATTTACGCCTTTGCAAAAGCTTTGGTTCAACTCAAGTTTTAAATCAAAATCTAAAAAGTTTCGGATGGCCAGAAAACCGAAATTTTTTTATATCTTCGTCAAAAAAATTCTACAAATCTCTAACTCGCTCACGCATATACATTCCACATCAGACATTCATATGTGCTGTTGCTGTATTATCAGCTAGAAATCGAGAAACCGAAAATTTCCATGTTTTTACCAAAGTGATGCTGTGCTGTTCTTATACTAACATTTGTGTACTAGAAGTCCTTAGAAGTAGTACCGCAGATTTTTGGCTCTCTATATGCTTTGGTTTCTGAGAAGTGTTGATTTAAGCGTTAAAAATTCTACAAACGAGTGAAGAAAGCTAAATTTGATATTTCTCGGTTTCTTAATTTCTAGCTGATAAAATACAGCAACAGCACATATGAATGTCTGATGTGGAATGTATATGCGCAAGCGAGTTAGAGATTTGTAGAATTTTTTTGAACTAAGATATGAAAAAATTTCGGTTTTCTGGCCATCCGAAACGTTTTAGATTTTGGTTTAAAACTCGAGATGGACCAAAGCTTGTGCAAAAGCATAAGCGTCATCTTATAGAACTTGCTTTGCTCTATCGAATGGTATCCTGAATTCTATTTAGAATGAGAAGTGTGTGACTTATTATAGCGAAAACTCAAGAATGAAAAGAGTTATGGGACAACCTAATAAGTAGTGCAGATAAGAGTGGGAGGGGGGGGGGGGGGAAACATGGAAAACGCCCTGCAATAGGACCAGTATGAGTAACATTAAATAGAGAACAAAGATTTTCTCGAGGGATCCCCAATCTTCCCAATCCATTAATGACCTCATCCTTGTTTTCATCCTTTGTAATGCTCTTCTTACTAGAGGAAATTGGCCATGGTAAGTCAGCAGACACAGTTTCAGTGATATTGTACATATGATCACCATGGCCAACTGTCTTTGTCAAAACCTCAAAAGAATAAGAGACGAAAAATTAGCAATTAAAACAGTAGAAACCTCATTTCAACGAGAAACCGCTATTCTAGAGTTTGAGCGCATTATTTGTCAAATCTAATTATGTGTAGTTTAAAATAGTGAAGGTGTAGAGATAAGGCCTAGAATTAGCTATGCAAGGACGCAAAACTAAGTTTAACCAAACTTGTGGCTTTAATGACTGATCTGAAATATCTCGAAAATAGAATTACACAACCGCCTTTCTCAATCATCTTTTTTTTAGTCTAGAAATTTTCGCATCACTCTCACCCCTAACTGTAGGGTGTGGTATGCCCGCCCGTACGCTATAAAGGACACTTGATTCTGTCTGAGTTATTATTTACATTTGCGAATTCGTAATAGAGCATGGTTATCGTGTAATAAATTTTTGAAACTGATGGAATACGAGCATGTGAAACTCTGCTCATTTGTATGTAATAAAATGTGCATAATGTATATACACAACACAATCCTAAGCAGATTTTATAATACAGCAAACTGACTTTTCTAACGTACTCCTAATCTCTAAATATGCCATCGGCAGCAAAACAGTTCAAGAAATTATGTCAACATAATGACTGCAGAATCTGACAAGGGAAGAAAGGTTGGTCAGTGGCCTTTTGAAATGAGGTGTACACTGCCTTGTAAAGCTTGGAACGCTGATCCCAAATCTACCTTTGCTATCTGCTGCGGAGTCTGGGCGAGGAGTTATGAAAATTTTTGTGAGTAAAAAAAAGATGATTGAGAAAGGCGGTTGTGTAATTCTATTTTCGAGATATTTCAGATCAGTCATTAAAGCCACAAGTTTGGTTAAACTTAGTTTTGCGTCCTTGCATAGCTAATTCTAGGCCTTATCTCTACACCTTCACTATTTTAAACTACACATAATTAGATTTGACAAATAATGCGCTCAAACTCTAGAATAGCGGTTTCTCGTTGAAATGAGGTTTCTACTGTTTTAATTGCTAATTTTTCGTCTCTTATTCTTTGAGTTTTGACAAAGACAGTTGGCCATGGTAAGTCAGCAGACACAGTTTGAATGTGTGAAACTTTTTTATGCATATAATAAAATGTACATATCGTTTATTCTTTCTAGGAATCTCGAAGCAAACCATGTAATCTTGTGCATAACGAAAGTGAAAATTTCTGCATCACTTTTTTCTGAATATCGGGAAAACAGAACTAAATAAAGTTCAAGCCTGCAAAGCAGCGTTAGTTGTGTACACACAAGCCATCTAGTTTCAAAAAGGAGGAAACTTATTGTTAGTGACTGTGAATTTTTTGTATGGTCATATCTCAAACTGCTTGTCGGTTTGATCACAATGCTTACCTCAAAGGTTTGCTATCCATGGAAACAAGCCTCAGGTTGAATCAAAGCTTGTTAAAACAGATGCAAAAATAGTCGCATCGTCGAAAAAACAATCGGTATGGCCAATCAATTAAATATACTAAGCTTTAAAATATTCCTCACTTCCAGAATACATTGACATCCGTTGCAATTTTGTGCAGGCACAACCTGTAACTCCTTTTATGAAACAATTCGCATATAACAGATACAGTTTGAGATTAGCGCACTACGCAAACACGACATATTTCACACTAAAAGGCCATTGTCAAATAGCATCTTTTCCCATGGAAGTTTTTGACGCCAAATTCTTTCCGCTTCTATTTTTTCAAGAAAAAAACTTTGTTTTGACTTATATATATTCCACTGTAAAAAGTTTCATGAGTCATTGCAGAGAAAGAAGTTGGGGTCAGGCGGTGTGGCACTTCCGCTCAATTATGGTTCCGAGTAATAAACTTTTGACATATTTGACCCATCCTATCTCAGAATCCTAAGTTTTATTGCCGTTTCACTATAAACCAGCGATGGATCCCATAATGGGAGAAGCGGACAGATAAGGTGTGACAAAATGTCCAACTTCTGCATGACCTCTTACGACAATTTATAGTCGGTCATGCAACCTTTTTGTTGAAATCTACACAAAGCAAAGGCTGGCACAGGGGCAAGGGGATGTTTCTAAGGCAAAAAAACACGTTATTTATCTTGTTCAGGGAAGTCTTGAGAGAAACCGCAATGATGCATCGGCATTAAACTTCAAGGATAGCCGTTCCAGATGTTCTCGTCAGTCTGAACAAGTCAAGACAGGACCACTAAACTTTAGTTCAACTGGTTTTTCGGCTGGAAGGGCTCTGTGACTTAACTGAAGCGCTCGCTTCCACGACGCAGTCTGCATCTTTCATGCGCGCGTGCTCTCTGACTATTACCTAACCTTAATTAGGTCACGAATCCCCGCCTTCCAGCCGCCAAGCCAGTTGAATCAAAGGGTACACAGATGTTCCAACGATGTTATCGCAATCTTGCTCAAGTAGCATGAGTACAACCTTATAGGAATTGAACTCAAAGAATATTTTTTCAAAGACATAGGTAAAGGCTTATTTCTCAGTTTAACATGAAGCGAACCTCGTTTGTGAAAGCCATCGGTTCCTGACTTGGATGATCATTAACCAATCCTAGAATGTTGATTCTATAAACTGTTATAATTTTATTTTCTGTCATAAGACACGATATGCTCAGCAATCGCATGCTAATAGAACATACATTGTTGTTAAAGCATTCGTGCAAGAAGAAACATTGAGCATGGTTAATTTACGATTACTGACATCAGTGTTTATAGCTATTCTTCTTCGATTTTGTGAATTTCTAATGAATTCTACCATTATAAAACGTGCTGAACGATGCAGACAGTCAATGACTTCTAGATTTGTTGAAGCTTCTTCTAAAACAATGTTTTAGAACTTTCTTGCTATCATAAACTGCCAGGGCATCAGCTATCATTCTTCGGCACCTTTACAGTTAGATCAAAAGTAACACTTAGGACCATTCTTATAACACTTGCAGAAATCGCAAGTATTACATCAGAACTTGTCGATAAAAGCTTTCCTATACCCTACAATTTAGTTGCAATCTATGTACGCCAAGCTGTTGACTGTGACCGCTTTATTCGTGACAGCGCTATGCATCACAGCGCAGACAACGTCCGCACTGGATGATCTCAAAGATGGTCAAGTTTGTGCCAAAGAATTGGACAAAAACGAGACTATGGCCGAGTTTCGAAAAGCTTTTCCTGACGCCGCAACTGAGGTCGAAAGCTACCTTGGTTTATTGCTGGTAATGACTAACGGGTATTGCAGCACACTTAGGCCCGTATGCACGTACATCCCCGCGGGGAGGGGATGTGCGCTTAACCATTGCAATGATCCCCACTGGGGATCCCCTCCCCTCCCCGCGCGAACCCCCGTATGCACAAAGACAATATCGTACAAGGGATCCCCTGTGGGGAGGGGAAGTGAACCCTCTTATGCACAAGAGGGGATCAAGCGGGGAAATCACCTTGCTTTCAAATTTTCTATGAAAAACTCTTTCTTATTTCATATTTTGACTGCAACTCATCTTCATCTCCTCACTTCAATTAATTTAGGGGTTGCGGAATGTGCGTATGCAGTGACTGCGCTCGGGGTGCTAAAAATGATTTTTTCTACTCCCATTATGTTCCTGCTTTCTTGGATGCTGTCCACTTTCGTTCATGCTGCTCCATTTCAGCGTCAAAATGTTGAACTATAGAAGTTGATGTGTCTCTGCAAGGGAATGGGCAGAAGACGTTATGCTGCCGAAAAGGGGGGGGGGGGTGCCGCGCGGACGCTCAAAGCAGTATTCTAACACATAACAAAGGCTGCAAATTGTGTCAGCTCTCCATAAACGCTGTAACTATCAGCTGCATATCGTCGTTTATCCCAGGGGAACGATCCCCAGCAGCCATCCCTGCTATGCACAAGGGGAACGCTGGGGAGGGGATCACTCCCCAAGGGATTTCTACTCAGAAATAGGCAAATATGCTACTTTCTAGATTTTTTCGAGGCAGCTTATGTTAAAAAAAACAAGATAATGGCAACATGTCATGAAATATGAAAGTTACAGTGTGTATAATCAGCCTATATAGTTAAAACTATTATGTTATATGAAAAATGCGCAAATTTCCTGAATGATCAAGAACTCCTACAAATAATCGAAATTGGCAGCTATTGTTGCTCGGATTTCTTCTCAAGAGGCGAATATAGAAAAGAAAGACAAATTGCAAGCCACAGGTCGCTGAGAGAAGAACCCGGCTTTCAAAGAAAATCCTCCATCAAAATGAACGAAATGCTTGGTAATGACTGAGCAGAACCAGAATATCCGCGTCTCTGGCAGGATCTACACCATCGAACCCCTACTTCGTTGCAGGGGATGTCGATCCCCTCCCCCGCGTTATTGAGTTGAATTCGCGCATACGGGGTTCGAGTGGGGGAAGGGAAGGGATCCCCTCCCCCATTCGAACCCCGTATGCACTGGGGTTCGCTCGATCAATACCTCTGAAATCATTCACACCATCCCCGCTTAGGTGCAGGGGAGGGGATCGCTCCCCTCCCCTCTGTCATGGCGGGGTTCGGCGGAGGGGATCGTTCCCCTGGGGATCCAGCTCCCCTCCCCTCCCCAGCGGGGACGTACGTGCATACGGGCCTTAATCATTGAATTTTTGCTTAGGATGACAAAGACGGTATCAAGAGATATACCATTAATTTTCACAATCCAGAGTGGACGTCCATGTATGTGAATGTTCTCGATGTAAGTCTTTTTATTCGAGGATTTTACCACGTCTTGAACTTTAGTTTACCGACATAACTTGGCGAGAATGTCAATATTGTCAATGCGAAACCTGCAAAACTGGCAAAAAAAACACTAGAAAATCTCAATCAGTTGGAAAATCTCAATAATCAAACACTTTTTTTGCTTGAGGAGTCAACGTGTCTCTGAGCTGACAGTTCGATTAGCATATGTCGTGTGTATGATTTTAGAAAACTTCCGAAAAAAATTACTTCTTACGCGTGGACCTACTTGCTTCGGATCTATGGAGTGCGTATGAGGTCAACGAAGAAGAATTCAAAAAATGGAAGACCGCTTGTCAGCTTTGATCGTCAGAAATTACGCTTTCCTTAACTATACGATTTGTCGGCTGGCTATATAATCGAACTCTGCTATCAATATCACATAAAGACTTTTAGCAATGCAAGAATACTGTTGTCGACACGTTCTATCAAAAAAGGGTAAAAAAAGTTGAAAAATCTTGAAAAGGTTTTTTATTTGATCTATAAAGCCATCTTGGGATAATAGTCATTTTATAACCCATTTTTTGTTCACGACCACGTTTTACATGCAGTGCAAGAAGTAATTATCTTCTGATTCTACGAGATTGGCGGCTGGAGGGCAGGGCTTCGAGGCCTAATCAAGGCTAGGGGATGATCAGAGAGCACGCTCGCGAGACGCAGTGCGTCGCCGATGCGAGCGGTTACTTTTCAGCCATCAACCCTGAACCGAAAGAGTTAAGTACCCAGCACATAGAGTGTACTCATCCTACCCTAATTAGTCGCAAATCTTTTGCCTCGGTTAGCAATTACAGGGAAGCCAAGGAAAGAAGAAGATTTTTACAGAGTACAGTTAATCTAACAAGCAATCCTAGCAAATAGGTTTTCGGTAACATATTATGACTTAGCCAGAACCTGCAGTCGTTTCTAGAAGGAATGCGCAAAAACTTTTAAAAAATTCTACTTTCTTATGCGCGGTTTTCAGCAAAAATCTACTTATTTCAAAAGCCTCTCAATCCGCTTTATCAACTTGCTCATTTCATTCTCCCATCTTGAATTTAGTAAAGTTTTTAAAAATTTAATATATCTGACAACCGAAATCGTGTTTCAGTTAGATCAAAATGCCTAGAAAACTCAAAAAGTCTGCGGCGTGTATCGACAAAATGCTATAGCTTCTGCAGATCGTTCAGAGTGCTTCAATTTCAAGAAAGAATTTGTGAGCATGAAGATAGGTTTCCAATGTTTTCAACGTCATCGTTAAGCATCTGAAGGCATTCTTGAGACTCAATGCTCGCTGCACAACTCAGGATGATCGGTTGTTACAAACATCAACTTCAAAAGTTGCTTATGCAAAAATTCGAATTTGAACTTGAATTTGAGTATCCGACGCGAACTCAGTGTAAAAAAATCTTGCTCAACTAACTTTTGAAAACGTTATCAGAGAATTACCGAAAGAAAACATCTACTATGAACAATGACATTACGTGAGAAATGTGTTTGATTTGAAGTTTGACGGAATTTTCATTTAGAAAACTGTTTTGGCCAGAAAATGTTTTTTTTGAAATTTTTATCAAATTAGGGAACAATGCATTCATTTCTGCGAGCTAGAGCTTCCAAAGGCATATAAACTTTTTGACAGATGCTTCATAAAATATTCGGGAGAACCAAAACAAGAAATGCGGCAATGCAGAAATGCATGGAGCTTACGGCATAGTCCAATACTTTGTAATCAAATGCTCTCTAATACTATTATGGAAGTTTTGAAAAAGTAGAAAAAACTTTAGCTAGAGCTGTAATTATGTCACCGCAACAAATGTGACGTTTTGTGAAGGAGAATTGTTTGATAAATCAGGTACCGCTCTGGAATATTCAAAAAAAAACCTTTATATTTCCAAATCACTTGATTATCATAATAAATATGATGATGATAATTTACTCTTGAAAGACATAATGGATTTGCTAAGAACTGAAGGCATAATAAAATACACTTTCTTCTGCAGTTCATACGCTGTTAGAACATTAAACTCCTATTCGAACACGATGTTCACAGGTGTGTCGTAAAAGCGCCCGAGTAAAGACCTTCGGTGAAGAAAGGATTAGGCCTTGTATGATTGGATTCCCGCATGCAGATGTGCAGCATATGTGCTGGTTGTTGCAATAGGTATATCTTATCCAAACTACAAACAATTCAGACACAGCAGCTTAGACGGTAGATAATTGGGCCATAAAAATCTATGCAATGATGTGGCAAGTGCTTTCCGTAGAAATTCAACTCACCTGCATTGCTGTTTTTTGTGCACAGTGATCAAACATGTGTGACACTACAAACAACGGTGAGAGCTTTCAATGAAATATTCAATGTATCCTGTCGCAACAGATAAAAATGATTTTTGTGCTGGGCAAGTCAAAACTTTTATGTTTGGCCTAGCCATAATTACGGCGCGTCATCAGAGCATTATCTGCAAATCCGTTATTCAACCCGAAAAAAAAGCAGTAGTACCAGGCAGATGGCAGGGAAGGTCATGAAGACGAAATGGCCGAACATAACGAAATGCACGTTCTCAGACAATCAAAGACATACCTCCGGAGCAAAAAATGGGAGGGTCCCGGGCTCTGCCCAGCGGGGGTTTATCACTCGTGCTCCGGACGCCTTCCATTTCACCCATTTTGGTGCTCCGGAGGCTCCTCCAAATCTAACGCACCATCGGAGCAGAGATATGCGAGCCTCGGCGAGGGGTCCCATTCACCTCCCGTGACGTCACCGTGGAGTTGACGGCGTTCGTAGTTACTTTCCAGACTGTATGCACTTTGAGTGCAAATTATAGAGCTTGCTCCGCATGGAAAGTGCAAATATGGGTAATGCTGGCAACAATCGTCAAAGATCACCTCCTCATTCATAAACAAGAGGAGACGGTCAAGAGGCGCGATTTCTCTGGCTGTCACCAAATTAAAAGCCCATTTCTGCACTACACATTTTTTCAAAAAATTCCAGAGAAAGTCGTTTAGCTTACTAGCTGTTCGAAGTTACCATTTACTGAGTTTCACGGCTTTTGCTGCAAAAATGAGCGAAATTTTTACGAAAATGCCATTATTCGTTTCATAGGTTTTTGACCTCCAATGTTTCTGTTCTGGATTTTTTTTTTCAAGATGATAAGATCAGACAGCTCATGCAACGATCATCTATTACTTCTCAGATATTTGAAAGGCCCTTAGAACATTATTAAACATTAAAAATGTGCAATTTGATGTCCAGCTGGCAATGAATCGCGCCTCTTGACATACACACCCATAAATAAGCAAAAAGGGACTTGCATTTTCAAGCGCTTGTCATGTACAGATCTCGAACAATAACGAAATATTGATTTCAGGCTACAGAATTAGTGCAAATGTCTGGTCCCCCAATTGCTATCATAATTTGGATGAACTGACACCCCATTTTGCTTCCTATCCTGCCTAACTTTTTACATTTTTTTAGTTTTCGAAAACGACGTTAGATTTTTAACAATATGAAGGTTAGGAAAATCAGATAATATAACCTATCAATTTTAGGGGATTCATGTAAACCTCACTTTTAAATGCTTTTACTTTTTGAAAATATTGCTTTTGCCTCTGGAAATAGAAAAACAGGGGGAGCTACATCTTGTTTGGAAGAAAAGAATCAGTCGATTCATGCGGTAGTACATTATGCTAAATTTCTAGGAACATTCTGCTAAATTTCTAAGATTTAGTGCTGAACTTCACAAATACCTGCTAAATACTTACTTTGGATGCTTTTACATTGTGAAAATATTGTTTCTGCTTCTATAAACAAACGAGCAGAGGGAGCTCGGTCTGCTGGATGGAAAGACCCAACAAGCACACGGAAACGCATTTCTACCAACTAGATTTTCATGTCAAAATTCACAGAAACTGCTGCATTTGTTTTTGGCGGCCTCTACTTTGTGAAAACCCTACTTTTGCCAATAAAAACAGCACAGCAGAGGGAGCTTGTCTTGATGGAGAAGACTCAGTGTTTATGCGGCAGGACATTTTTGATATGATTCTTTGAATTTCAGTGCTGAATCTTACAAGAAAGGCTTGAAATTCACTTTGGCTTTTTTTACTTTGCGAAAACCGCAAAGTAAAACCTTCTGCTTTAAAAGCATAATTCTTGAAGAAAAGGAATAAAGAAAGCTCTAAATACCTTATGCGGCAGCGCATTTCGGCTAAGATTTTTCAGTTTCAATGCTAAATCATGCAAATCGCTTGAAATCCACTTTTGACTGATTCTGCTTCGCAAAAAGCGTACTTCTGCTAAAAGCAGGAAAAGCAAGGGAAGCTTGGTCTTTAAGGAAAGAAGATCTAGAGACTTCATGCAGCAAGACATTTTTGCTAGGATTGTATAATACAAGAAAAAGCTTTGAACAAGCTTTGGTCTCGCTTTAAGAAATGACCTTCTCCGGCGAGACTTAATAGGGAGAGTATAGGACTGTGCATGATCGCGAAGCTCGATGTATTAATGGCCGTTGCATAGTTCCTGAGTGTCAGCCTAAGTTTCGGGTTGAATCATCTGTTCTACATAGATGACTGCTCAGGCGATTTCCATTTTTAGGAGCTAGGGTTGGGTATTTGCAAGAAGAACAGCGTAGATGGTTTGGTAGTTAGTAAAAAAAAGTTCCCTTGAAAGCCGGATCTTGCTTTTACTACTACTTGCATTGCGACAAAGATCGTCGAGAAAATGGGAATTCATTCTCTTGCTATTCTTAGTTGCACGCAGACAGCTCAGTGTATCTGCCCCAACCCACTTACCCGTAGGGTCGCCAGTCTAAAATAAGTCTCAAGAAGAGAACTTGGTTAAAACCATTGCTGTGTTGTCGCTTTGAATTCCTCACGACAATCAAAAAATAGAAACAAAACGAAAATAAATCTTGAAAGGTGCTGTGGCGGCGAAGAACGATAACAACTGACGTAGACACGAAGATTCAAACACGGAAATAACGGTATTTAAAAAAAGAAAACTTACTCGATTTCACTATTCTACTTATTCGACTCTGCTGATCTTTGGACGCTGTTCAATTCATGTAACATATCAACTGCAGTCTGCTTGGAAACTTTGAGAGCTGTACAACCATTTCTGTTGAACTGGCTGCTGATGTCTCAGAGTAGTAACATTAGTGCAGTCTAAGTCGCAGATCTCATTATTTACGAGTACAGAAATCGAATAAGTTTTCTATTCTGCATCTGGCTTTCCTCAATTTGCAGTGGCTTGAGCCTCGTTATGACGCAGTGTGATCAATTCATTCTTCGCCCTAAGACAACTAAGCCGAACGTTAAAATGGTGCCAGAAGATATTTTGGAAGAAACAGTGCACCTGGCACCCGCAAGTTAGTATAAGGATTCTCTTTCCGGTA